TGATTGGCCGATTGGATGATGACAGGCTTCCTCACCAGTCACTCCTGACTGGTGAGGAAGCCTGTCAATCGGCCAATCAGCGGGAGAAGAGGTCAGAATGGAGCAGATGACGGAGGAGGTCGCGGCCATCTTGCTTGATTGAAGACGCGATGGAGGTCCTGTGTGCGGCGGATCTGGGTCCCTGAAGATGGCGGACGCGGCACAGGTACTCGTTTTATGTTTTGGAGTATTTGCACGAGTACTCACTCATGCAAATACTCGCTATCGCCGCCTATACCGATGCTTGTATCGGTACATCCCTAATGGATAGTGTTGTAAGAGTGGCTCAAAATCTGTAGAACCAGCACACAGCTATCATCCAAAGAAAATCAAACTTTATTCCACACGGATCTATACAAAAAAAGCAACCGCTGATGCGTTTCTGCCTTAGTTGGCCTTAGTCAACTTTTGAGTTTTTGAGCCCATCACTCCACTCCAGAAGAGGGTCATCCGTGCACCGAATGTGGATTACAAGGATGCATGACAGCGGTGAGCTGTGCGCTTTGTGTTTCTACTCTTCATGTTGTAAGAGCGGGGTGTCCACTAAGGTGAACCTGGTTCAAAACTGTCCGAATCCTGGCCAGATGAGCAGCATGACAGGAAACTAGGATTTTAGGAATAGAGGTCCGCAATTTGCAGCCCTTTTTCTTCACTCAACAGCCCGTAAACCAATTTGTAATAGTTTTGGCATATAGTTTTTTTTTTCATTGCTGGCCTTTTTAGAATGCCACTTGAATGGTTATCCAAACCCGCTGGCTTCAGGACCTTGAGTCACTAACCCAGAACAAGTATGGAGAAAGGTCTTAAGGCCTTTATCTGCATATTTGTTCCATGTTGTTGGCTTAGACGATTGAACAAGAGGGTCATAGATGCACTAGAAATTTTACAGGCAAAGTGAACCCACGTAAAGCAAATAACTCTGCAGTTGTAGCTCCAGCTTTACATGTAAATGGCTTTCTTTGTCATATTTTCATTAGATTGATTAACCTGATAAAAGCAACTATCCCTCTGCTTGTGTCCCAGATATTGGTTCTGAGACAGTAGATTTGCTGCATTGCGCAAAGATTGCTTCCATTAGAACCAAATTGCAAAGGTACTTTGAGTTCTGTCCCTTCCATGGTCATACTATTCACAATGAGACCTTTCCCCTTTCTGGTTATTGGATAAGAGTCCACAATACTGTTAGGGTGAAATCAGAATATCTCTTTTTTTTTTTTTTTAGGGCTGCAACTAATGATTATTTTTATAATTGATTAGTTGGCCGTTTTTTTTTTTTTTTTAAATCGGATTAAAAAAAATGAAAAACCATCCTTAATTTAAAAGAAAATACTTCTGAATAAAACTGGCGCTTGAATAGCTTCTGCCAGGGAATGACAGCTGCCAGTGGCAAGATTCCGCAGACGGCAACTGAATGTAAATACAGCAGGTAGTGGGCTGGTGCAATAGAGCCTGATATTGGCCATTTCAAATTGCAATAGCTAATAGTGGGCTGGCTATTGCACCCGCCCACTGCTTATGGGGCTCCCCTCCCAGCAAGGAGGAGAGGGTTAAGTGGATCCAACCAACTATTCGATAATGAGAATAGTTGACAACTATTCTCATCAATTATTATCAATTACTCGATTTTAGATGGTTACAGCCCTTCTTTCTTCTATATCGAATATTAGCAGGAATCCTCCACAATACAATTTTTTTTTTTTTACTTTTTTATTTTAAAGGTGTAGGCTGCAGAGCTGTCACCCTTATCCATCTTTTACTACTTGATGAATCACTACCCTGGAGCAAGCATGTATAAATGCTTATTTTGGATCAGTAACTAACTAGTAAAATCAGGATGACAGTCCCAGAGCTTGCACAAGCAAATCGGTACCTGCAGCTCCCATGTTTGCATTTCATTTTTGTTTTTGAAGTGTAAGTGTGTGGATAGATATAATATTCTCCACTGGTTTTTATATGTAAAAAGTGATTTTTAATTAAACATATATATATATATATAATCATTTTTTATTTTTTATACCCAATGTTAATGTGAAGTGCTGAAAGATCTGTGAGTATTTAATTTTGTACAGTTTCATTGTTCGGCATTAATTGACTTTTGTTTGTATTTTATTTTTCCACAGACTGAGTGCATTACCATGGAAACCATAGAGAAGACTGTGTCACCCCAGCCTCTTTGCTGTAAAACAGAATGAGGTGACTTGGGAAGACAGAATGCAGAGAGATAATGTGTGACGCCGTGTTGAATTTCCGATGGACGCATACTTGCTTTCCCACACAGATTAAATGTACAGCCATTTAAAGCTTATATTGATGTGCTGGCAAAGGAAGCTTATTTTTTTCAGTATACTTATTTTTGTGAGGAAAAAGATGGCATATTTTACAAATTGCATATGGGAGATTGCTGTGTTTTTTCAGGAAGCAGCTCTGACTTGTAAAATGGTCCAGAACTGGCTTCCATAATGCACTTGTGCCATTTTACTTCCCAGACCTGCCCCTTAAGTATTTTCATTATGTGCTGCTGTAGCACCTGGGAGAGCGTAACGCTATGCTTTAAGAACATTTCCTAAAGTGTAGCGAATTTCAGTTTATAAATATATATGGGTTCTAATTTTTGGGTACAAATGATACTATAAAATATGTAAAACTAAGAAGTATTTGGGGTTTTTCTTCCCCAAAGTCTACGTATTTTACTTGATCTATATTATGAAAAGACGTCTCATTTAATGAACAAAGATACATTTTCTATGGTACATGAAGTTGTTGTTTTTTTAATCCCCTCTAAAACAATTTTTTTGTGAATTCTGTGCGTTTTTACTTTCTGCTTCATTTATGTTTATGTACCTGATCCCTTCAGGTGCACATTTGTACCATTTCTTGAGAAGACATCCATTTTATTTAATATTAAGCAAAGATGCAGTATTAATTTTCTTAGTGAAATGTTAATCTCTGAGAAGAATGTAGGGGTGGCTTCCATGTAATTCCTTAAGCTTCTTTTTACAAAGAGACATACACTTTGGTTCCCTGTGAATGACAAGAGTGCTAACATTGAAATGACAATATTGGCAGCACAGCATAGAAAATCTAACAACACTAATGGCTACTGTGTTGCTCTTAAATTATGGCTACTCTACCCTTTTAAGGATGAGTATTGTCTTGTATGACATTGGTGACTAGTAGACCTTGTTTTATTTAGTAGATTAACCCCCCAAATGTGTGTAGCTGTGCTTCTGCTCTTCTATCACAGTTTGAGTCAGTCACTGTGAACAATGTATGCTGCACCACAAAGCTGCCCACTAATGTGTACCAGTCACAGTTAGAATTATGCAAGTCTTCTATATTCCATCTGAAGTTGTTGTGTACGAGCAGGCTTTTTCTTCAAAGACTTACAAATGTCCCCTTATTTAGTGTTGCTTTGTTTGAGCCTGGCATGTTGCTTTTGCCAGGGTCAGAGGTCACTTGAAGTTTGACAGCTGTGGCCCTGCCAATTTCCTGACCTCCCGCTGTCTGTGGCTTCAGAGTGTGCATATTGGTATAAAGTAACAGAGGCTCACAGTTTATATTCCTATACCTCAGTCTGAGCGCTCAGCGGACGCCTTCAAACCAATGCACTGTTTATGTGGTTGAGCAGCTGTTAGAAGAAGACAGAGTTATGGTGCTGGCTAATCTGGAAAACTCTGAATTGAATACAGTAACAAAAGCACGGAAAGCATCAAAAATGATTGACGGTAAACCCTGCAATAGTTGAACATATGTGCTCAGTGAAATACTTGACTTTCTGAACCTCATTGACATGGCCTTGTTATTTGACTCTGTTATGCACTCTCAGGAGCTGGGGGGGGGGGGGGGGGGGGGGTATTGTGCAAAGTTGGGAAGCTTGTCACCCTTCAGAGGACCTCTGGCCCTTGGCACTGAAACTGAGACTTAAGTACAGCTAAATGAGGGAGTATATGTACACCTTAACAAGCCCTGATCATTTACAGCTGAACCGCAGGAAAACTGTTTAATACACATTTGATATACATGTATGTGAACTGTTTGACCTGCTGAAACATTTGGAATTGTGTGCAGCGAGTCTTCTGCTTGAGCACCTCTTCCACACAGCACTGTTGGATCCTTGCCTCCACTACAGTGACAGGACATCTTTGTCAGGAACACCCCCTAGCCTGCTCCTCTTTCTGCCCTTTCCTCCCTATCAGCATATGCACTGCAGCAGAGCCTGGCTGGCTGTGGGAGGTGCCTCTCCCCTGTCCAGTCTGAGACCTGCTGTGCAGCAGAATACAGGTAAATTCAGGTACTTTAACTAGCTGTAGTTAAAACTAAATGTAATTTTATTACAGAATTCAAGACTGCATTATTTTCCAATCTTTCTCGGCTTCAGTTCAGTTGAATTTTGTGGATTTTTTTTCATTGTGACTGTTTTTCCTTAACATGAACCTGTTTGCCCATGCAGAGGATAGGCACAGGTTCGTGTTAATGAGGACCACGCCTGCAGCTTATGCTGACTTTCACTTTGCTTTCTGATGCTCCATTCGACCCTGGGAGTGAAGAGAATAGGCCATGTCTTGGGGCTTACTTAAAGGAGAACTATGAGGTGAGTGATTTCCACTCATCCTCATAGTTGGAGCTGACCTGTGACACAGAAACTTTCACAGGTCGGCTCTGTTGATCGGGAAGTGAGCGAACACATAGGCGCTCTTTTACTTTCCGATCATCTCCGTGCAGAGATCGGTGACTGTCGGTCACTGCTCCCCGCAGGGATTCCCCCCCCCTCCCTTCTCCGATCCTCCCGCACTGAGTGGGCAGAGCCTGCTGTTACTCACACAGCTGGATGGATCCAGACAGTATTGTCAGGACCCGTCCTAGCTGCGGCGCTCTCAGTATATCGCTGGCAATAACCCTCTATATACTGAGCTTTGGGAGGAGGTCAGTATATGTCCTCCCGTGACCCTAAAGAGAACTATGGGGAAAAATACTTACCCCCATAGTTCTCTTAAGGGTGCCGAATCTCTTCCAGCAGCTGAATGGAGCCATAGTTGAGCAAACGGGGAAGCAAATATAAGCTTCTGGTAGGGCCACCATTTTGTTGAACCTGTTTCTTTGCCCTGTGCAAGCAAATCGGGTTCACTTAAAGGTCACTGATGGTTTCCTAACTTTAGCATTATGCATCTGTAATACTGGAGTCTGAACTTTATCACAGGAAAGAATCAGAACAGTTAGGTGGGAGTTCAGGCTTGGGAAAAGCTAACCTGGCACATATTTGGACCATCTAGCACAAAAAAATCTTTAGAGCCAATTTTGGCGGGAAAGTAAGTGTTTGTGTAAATGTAATTTTCTTCACGGAACTGGGTGGCTAAATTGCCAACACTGCTGATAACCTGCTTCTGTAAGAGTTCTTTCAGTTTCCATATCATTAATAGTGATCAATTGTATTCATTTACAAAGAGCCCCCCCATCACCTCATGTTCTTGTAGGGTGGGCTGCATTTTACCCTCCTTTATATACACTTTCATATGTTTATAGGGTGAACAAGCGGTACACAGATGTTGAAGCTCAGACTTAAAAGGTCTGTTTAGTTTCTTCAAAACTGTTCTTTGGCTTGGTAATACTTGAGTGCAAGTTTAGGCGACAGGTATTGCTTGTAATGCCACATGTTTTTCAGTACAAGAACTTTTATATTGGGTTGAAGCAATTTTCTCAATGCCATAGACCTTTTTTGTTTCTAGTGACCGATGCGATCTTGCAGCTGCCAGTTTAACCTCAGCCTTTTAGCAAGTGAAATGTCAAACAGGTACAGCATAAAATATGCAATCTCTTAGTTTACAAACAAAACTAATTTATTCAGTATTGTGCTGGAACATAACTTTTGGAATATGTAAAGCATATCACTAGATAATATCTTCCAGCTTTCAGTTTATGCTGCTGTATAGTATGAAATTTACCAATGATGGAAGAAGTGTGTCCTGTAAATTTAATTTCATATTGGAAAGTTATTTTGTCTGTACAAATTAATAAAACCTGGTTGGTACTGTTTGTTATATTTGTTGTTTCTCCTTCATACATCTGTCAAGTAATTTATTTCTCACTGTAAATAACTCCTTTTTAGTTAGAACTCGTTATCCGATATACAAACTGTATTGTCTCTCTTTTCTACAAGATTTTAGCATAGCTTACTGGGTGTTGATGTACTGTTTTTCCCTTAATGCAATAAATATTGCTGCTTACTTTTTTTAAATGCTACAAAGCTTGTGTTTCCCTTTTCAATGGCTTGTTTTATGGATTCTTTAACAGCAGGGGTCCCAAGCACTGGCTTGGTAATGCACATGTGGCTCTCAGCTCCTAGAGACATTGAACCCACTTCCTGTATAATCCCAGGGAATAAAGGGCCCACCCTGAACTCCCAGGGGAATGTGGCACCACTTCATTACGCAGCAGGGATTCACCCACTGACGGAGGAGGAGGGACTTGTGACCGGACTGGAGACGCCAGAAATGATGGTATGTATAATCAGTTTAAAAACAGTTGGGTTATGCTAGCACCTACAGGAGGTTAGTACACTGGCAAACAAACTGGCAGCCTCTGTATAACCCTGCCTCCAACCATCATGTCTCAGTTTTTTATCTAGTGTCCTAGGAGGTTGGAAAAGGAAAAGAAAAGGTCTATTTAATTTTTTTTGCTAGCCTTTTTTCTTTTTTTTTCAGCTGTCTGAATTTGGTGTATCCTCAGGACCTTGCTGGACTCGAGGATTGTGGGGCTAACCTGGATTGTAACCTTCAGGCACTGAGCTCTGCATTGTGGCGCTTTTCAGACCTTTTTGTAATGTCAGGTCAGGCTGAACTACTGGGAGCGAACTCAGTTGGACGCCCACTTTAAAAAAAAAAAAAAAATGCCTGTGATCTTTCCACAGTATCAGTAAAGCAGATAAACCTTTCAGAAGTGTTTTGTTATACCTGTTTAATAAGTAAGTGTTACTGGCAGAATGACTAGGTAAAACAGCGATGAAGCTGCCATCCATATCTTAGAACTGGTAAGTTATTACATATTGTATCTGTGCTGTTTACACTTCTGAACCGGAAGCCACTGGTTAACAGATATTTATTCTCTCAGGCAGCAATAGTGAACCCTTCTAAGTATGGATATCAATTGCAGGGATTTTAGGGAAGAGAATGGTGTCGGCTATTCTCCAGTCTTCAGATTTCTTTACCTGTAATGTTTGTAGCCAGTGTATCATAACTGCATGAAGGTCAGCTATGTGCGTTTCCATCTTTGCTTCGGTTCTGAAGCAGAAACTGGACAGCTGTGTAAACATACACTAGATCTGCTTATTAGTATTTGAAACCTGAAAGTGAAATTCCCCATTTAGTTGATGCAATGCTAGCAAGGGTCATGATTTGAGGTTGTGCAGAGAGCAGCTGGAATGGAGGCCTCACATCCTAATTGTGGGGTTGACTTGTTAAAGGAAATAGACTGTATGGTAGATGAAGTTCAATAAATGTAAGGTAATGCATTTTGGAGTTAAAAATAGGCGAATGGACTATACACTTATGGGTGTGCCACTAGGGAAATGAAACTGAGAAGGATTTGGGGGTCATTATAGACCGCAGATTGAAGAACAGCTCGCAGTGCCAGGCTGCTGTAAATAAAGCAGGCAGAGTCCTGTCTTGCACTAAGAAGGGAATGTATTGCAGGGACAAGTCTATAATTTTGCCTCTTTATAGATCACTGGTTCCACCTCACCGATACTCAGAAAGGATGTCCTTGAGCTGGAAAAAGTCCAGCGGAGGGCAACCAAACTCATTAGGGGTTCGAGGACCTGAACTATGAAACAAGGTTGTTAAAATTAAATATGTTCTTTTTGGAGTTTCAGAGATTAAGGGGGGGGGCATGATTTTCATGTATAAACTATTCAAGGGCGACAGCAACCTTATTAACAAACTGTTTACGGTCAGCTCCGTAACAAAGACCAGAGGACACCACCATTAATTGGTGGAATTTTTTTTTCAAAACACAGGGTGCGAGGGGTTCTTCACAGTCAGAGCGGTTAGGGTCTGGAACTCGCTGCCGCAGGAAGTGATCTCGGCTAAGAGTGTGGAATCATTCAAGAAACTCCTGGAGGAGTTCCTCGGAGACCATAACGTACAGGTACGCCTAAGTGGAAAATCACACATGCACTCATACACAGGCACACACCGGCTCAAACATAAATGCATACACACAATAGGTTGGACTTATGTCTTTATTCAACCTCAAATACTATGTAACTATGTCATGAAAAATGTTGATCACTTTATTGAGGTATTATATGAATTACCAGAACCTAATAACTGGATCTGGGCTAAGAGCCTGGGCACTGGTTATTGCACGGGCATGCATGGCTTCACAAACCACTTATCACTCTCTATGCTGCAAGACCCATTTATATGATTGCATTGTGAAGGACGCAAGGCAATGCACACTATATGCGTTGTGGTGATATTCATTTTGAATGTCACTCCAATGCACTAAGGGGTAGTGAATTAAAATATAAGGAGGTCCAGTAAGAAAATTATACATTAAGCCGAAGTCTGAATCTGAGTGAATGGTCATTTGGTCCGTGTTCGTACCGCCATCTGCCATTTAGGATGCATTCACATTTTTTAAATTTTATTTTTTTACTTAACTTTTGTTATCACAAAGGGCCTAACAAGCCAGCCCCTATGTGACAGCATTTGGAGGCAACACGTTCTCTTTATGGAGACATCAGGAGTCTAATAGACTGATGTATCACTTGTACCTCCAACACAGACCATGACGCACAGGAATGTGCTTCACCTTCTGTTTACCTGGCACTTCAGCTGGCTTCTGACAGAGCAGATTGGGGAATGGGTTTTCCCGGTCTGCTTCAACTCTCCATGCTGACACTGTGTGCTGTGGTCCTGGGCTCCCCATAGCAGTGGGGGACCTGAAAACCGTGCACTGGGGGAGGCGGAGCACAATTACAGCCTAGTACAAGTGATCTGGGTGGAATCACTTGTAGTTGGGGAGCTGGCCCTGCCTGTCTGGTGTTTTTGGTTGCTGGGATGTAGGGCTGCAACAACTAATCGACATAATCGATTATTGAAAAAGTTGTCAACTTTTTCAATCATCGATTAATCAGCTTCCGATTGGTTGGCCCTGTTCACGGCTCCACACGCTGTGCGGCACACCTCCTCCCCACCTCACGCTTGCTGCTGCCAGATCCGCCCGCATCAACCCTCCACACGCCGCACCCCCGCCTCGCGCTCACCGCCTGCCCGCCCAAAGCCACGATCAGCACAGGGACGCTGGGAGAAGTAAGGAGGAGCAGGTGTGGGCGGATGACAGCCACCGATAGACAGGTCCGATCTCAGAAACAAGTTGCTGGAAGACTGCTCAGGTAAGCCTGCACTCGCCCCCCCCCCCCATGGTGCTCTATAATGTATTGCTGGGATTTGCATTCTTCTACAGCTGATGGTACTTTGTGCTGTATATTATACATATGAATACAAATCCCGGCAATACATTATACACTGTATGTATAATGTATTGCTGGGATTTGTTGTATTCCTAATATAGCTAGTGGTATTCTGCATTGCGCTGTATAGAGGACTACAAATCCCAGCAATAATACATTATACAGTGCAATGCGGAATACCGCCAGCTATAGAGGAGCACAACAAATCCCAGCAATAGTACATTATACAGTGGTGCAATGCCGAATACTACTCTCTAGAGAGGACTACAACACCTAGCAATACTACATTATACAGCGCAATGCAGGATACCACCAGCTATAATATACTATTGCTGGGATTTGTTGTTGTCCTCTATAGCTGGAGGTATTCTGCATTGCTGGTGCCATTCTGCATTCATTGCAGTATCACTATATAACATTCATTTCACTATATTGCACACCACACTTTTTTTTTTCTACTTCCACCGCCGCTCCAAGCTTGCTCCTTTGATGGACTACAATCTCAATAAAAACTATTAGTCCATCACTGGAGCCATTTTTAAAAATGTATTTCATTTTTTATCCGATTAATCGAACTCAATAATCGGCTAACTAATCGATTTTGAAAATAATCGTTAGCTGCAGCTCTACTGCGATGTCAGCGGTCCTAGCAACCAATGACTGAAGCAGAGGGGGGGTCGTGTGCTGAGTTATGGCTCGAAGTGGTTGAAGGTCATTGTATTCACTGCCAGCCCTAACCCAGTGCAGGTAGGCAACTGCCATTTAGTGACCACTGCACTAAGGCAATGCACTAGCTTTATGTTACCTAAAAATTAAATTGTTTTTTTTTATGTTAGCAACCCATTATTTTCAATGCAATTCATGTTTAACGCATGACATAATGCGTGTTACGGCACCGCAAAAATGTAATGGGTCCTCAAAGTTTCAACTGACATGCAAAGTTTTAATTCTAAGTTATACATACAGATTTCTATGTATACAGAAAACAACTACAATTCAGTGCTGTATAGAACACTGTCTAGATGAAGCAAGTCAGTGGCTTCATTTCAATTGAATGGGAAGCACAATGCGAAGTGATCAAACAATGGTGCCCTCTTCTGGCAATTATTTTGTGCATGATTTCTACATTTGGTCATTTGGTGTCTGTGCCATGAAATAAACTATGCTTATTAGCGCATACAAATCTCTATAGCAGTCGTGTATACCGAACATGAAAAATAAGGAAAGTCGTTGTAGCATAAAACATGTTTTATAGAAGAAATGTGAAAGCAAACACAATTCAATTGATTTATCAGCAGAGCGCTGAACAATTCCAGCAATGAAAAGGAATTGAACATTAAAAGGTTTATATAAAATAGTTGTTTTCATTTTGTTTGCTATGGGCTGGTCAGTGAAGCTGTTTTGGTCAAGAACGGAATGTAAAATAACATCTGCACGCTTTTATTGCAGCAAGCACTGTAAATGGAAGGCGATGATCTGATTGTGATCAACCAAATCGAATCATTCTGCCAAAGATCATACAAGATTTAGAACACCTATTCATCGAATTACATTATTGGTCAGAATTCCAACTGTGTCTATATACATATATATCTATATCTCCTAGTACATAAAAAGAACAAGCAAAAGCAAAAAGAATTCATAATGACATAACGGGAAGTGACACAGACCTGTAAATAAGATAAAATACTTGTTGACAAATCGGTGTGCAATACAATATTTTTAAACACATTTACATAAGTGAGACATTTCAGTGAATTGTATCCGTGTCACTATAATTCAGCTACATTATAAGCTTCGGTATTCTGTTTCTTAGGACTTGTTAACACTGGTTTCAGCTTTGCGCGGAGCAGTGTGTACGGCAAGCTTTTGCAAAGCTTCAGGGAGCTTTGTTGAAGCTTTTATAGCACCCTTTAGCACCGTTCTGAGGATATTAAACACAGATCTAAATGGGATTGCTGCTGTCACTTTAAACAAGCTGCCAGCAGACTTTAATCAGGTTTCACGTAGTGCTTAAGTCTGCTAGCAGCTTTTATAGGGCCCATTCTCACCGGCTATGTTGGGATTGCACTAGCAGCCTTGCCCAGCGTAGTCTCAAAGCTCAGACAAGGCTGTGGTTGCAGTGGTGTGTCCTGAGAAAAAGTACTGCATGTAACTTTTCTTTTCAGCGCAGAGTGGTGCAATGCAGTACAACCGCTTCACACCACACTGGCCGTATAACTTTATAAAATGTCACTTGTTAATAAAGGTCTAGCAAAAAAAACATGAACCGTGCGATGGGCTGGGATCAGTTCATCAGCAATATTCCCTCTCAGTGCACACCAGTGGCCATGCGTTTTAGTGCAGCTTACTGGGGTGAACCAGCCCTTAAAGTGACATCCACTCGCAATAAGAGTTTAACTGTAAAAAATAAGTCAAGGCAACTGGACTTGCTGTATTTTTCTTGAAGACGTTTCACTGGTTATCCTGTGAAACATCTTCAAGAAAAATACAGCAAGTCCAGATATACCATGACCTGGATGAATCAGAACCTTCACAGACAAGAGTTTAACATCCTCACGGGCACATTCTAGCTCCTGTTAAAGTGACTTTGGCCAAAATAGAAATAACATAAAATGCACGGCGAGTATTCATGTATACCTGTCCCACTGGCAAAGCAGTGACATAGTGGCCAGAGGGTGGAACACCATTGTACAGATTGATATAAGGTTAAGATAGATATATATATATCTTAATGATATAAGAAGATATAAGGTTTTGTTGGTTGAATTTAGATCTACTTTAAATATCTCCCATTTGGATGTAGCCAAGTAGTTGCTCACAGAGGATCTTGGCTTTCTGCTGAAGTAAAGCTGACCATTTTATCCATACTATGTAACAAAATCTTTATTATGTCACAACATATAAGCGCAAAAAAATACTCTTTATTGAACTTAGCTGATCTATACAAAATAGTGTATACACTGTTTGCAAATACATTTTTGAATAATTCTCTATATCCTCGGGAAGTGAAATGCTTTGATTCCTTCTCATAAGAAGACCAGAAGTAAAATACTGATATAGCCAATCTCTCTTTATTTCATTCACGCTAGATTCAAGATACAAGACAACACTTTTTTTTTATAGGTGTAAATACTTTGGTGGTTCCTGAAAAGGCTGCTTCTGATTGGTAAACTAACATATTATGCATGTCTTCTGTGTGTCTGTCTTATTTAAATGCTAGAAAGAATATGGCTAGTTATAGTGTGTGTTCAGTGTACAAAAACAAAACGTTTAAAAAACCCAAACGGAATTGCACGGAGACAGTATTAACAATAAAATCGGTGTGGCCACAGACATACTTATCATACATTGCCAAAAATCCAATTAAACAAGGAGGGAAAATGCAAGCTATAAAATCAGTAGTATTCTCATATAGGAATTAGAAAATTATTATTTTTACAAATACTGCTGAATGACTATGATAGCGGGCCTTGCATACTTGTGACATCGTGAAAACATGATTTTATACTTGTATTTTCCTTAATTATTTCACTGACAAACTAAAAAAAAAAAAGTGTTTTACACAATATACACATTTCATTACTTACAAAGAGAAATAAGCTTAGCATTTTTTTATATTTTGAAACCCAGGGTATGGAAGGGTTAGTAGCACCATGAAAAAAATGTTTTCCAAAACTGCAGCCTCGTTATTTTAAACATACTCAGTGCGTTTCTTCGTGTAGCTGATTATAAAAAAAAGAAAGTGCCATTTTGGTACTGGGAAAAAAACTTCATGTGATCCTTTGCGAAAACTCAGGTTTCTCTCTCAGCAGAGGTTAATCTTTTTCTCAGTCCGTTCGTCAAAATGCACCAGACAATCCTCAATATGGCACTTTGGTGAGGTACATTTGAATTTATTTAAAACAGTATCTGGTTCTTACTTTATCTACACAGTAGCACCATTGTCACAAAGGACAATTCCGACCTAAGCTTTCTTCCACAGGTAGCCAGTTCTCTAAAACGTTACGTCCTCTTCATACATACTTGGCATCGACTGACGCGTGTTCTCAAGTCTCCAGCTTTTAGTGTTTCAGACTGAGGTTTACTGGACATGGGAAGAAAAAGCAAAAGTATCAATGAAAAACATTTTATATGTGAAGAATCCCTAACACCACTGCTGCATTGGAGAACTTCTAAAAGTATTTATCAACTGCTAAGACTTCACAACATTCATATTTTCTATCTACTTATCCCAAACTGAGTTTGTTGATGGGATTTGTGTTTTGCCAGGCAACCAATGCCCCTCTTCTTTTATGGTCACAAGTTTTGGGGTCACAGTCAAAAGAACAAGTCGTGGGTTCAAGCAGAAGCAAGAAGCTCCATTAGAGTGTTTTCTAGTACTCTGCATTGCTAGCTTTATTTGCTGAACTGAAGTGGGCAAACATGTCAGAATGAAAGTTTAATTTTTAAGCGGACTTCAAGTCAAAAAGTGAAGACTTGCTATCTCATAGGGGACATATAGAGCTATTAATTGAGCCTAAGCAGTATATTGAAGTATGCAGCGTTTGTCTTGAATTCCTCCTCATAAATAGCAGTGTGCTTGCCTAGGTGCACAGGTGCTTAAACGCTCATACATGTATAGCTGCAGTGTGATATCATCTAAGGCACTGCTGCTTGTGATTGCTAGTCTCATGAGATTTGGATTTGACAATGTCACTAGTGTGCTATTCACATTTCTGAATCCAACACTGTTCCATAAGACCATTTATACTGTGGAGCTGTGCTTTCTGAATATCTCCTGCTTTGTCTTGAATATTACACCACCAGTCATCAGTGGAGGAGTCACATTAGGACGCAGCCCAGAACTAGGCATGGCGAGTCAGTAATAAAGAAAAGTGCCGCAGGGAGACCACATGCAATGCTGGTGAGTAGTCCTTTGTCCTATGGTTGCCCCCCAAAGTTAGGGTCATCTTTAAGTATAATTGAACATATTTTAGGAATAATGCTTAACACCCGAGAAAGCCCTTTTACTTAGAAGTCTGTCAACCCAAGAATTCTGAGGGCAGGTTAAATCACCTGACTTCTTTTTTGTCTTGTGGATTTCTGTGTTTAAACTCACTGGTCTTCTCCCTGCTGCAGCAATGACAGAGGTGTCTTACACTTCCTGCTAGCTTTCTGATTTCATTTACATTAAGGAGTAGTATGGTATATATGAGACATCCGCAGCTGGAGGAATAAAGGCTTGTTCACACCAAGTCCAGAGCAGATCTGCACGCATTACTGCACAAGCATGCATATGCGCTTCTTCAAGCGTTATAGATGTGTGCCGGTGTGTTTTTTGTTGTCAGTATGCAGATCACCTTTCTGAGGTCATTTCCTTCCTTGTCAGAACTACTCACCACAGTTCTGCTTATGACTCATGGACATCTCTCCATACCCTGGAAATATAGTTTTGCTGCAATGCTGCTCCAGTTATCAGCTTTTCTCCTATTATTTTTCTAATGAGTGTGTCTGGGATCATACAATTCCGGACACTCTTCTACCATGGTAACAGACCTGTCTGTGTCACAATATTTGTCCATCATAGCTGCTCTCCAAGGTCTCCAAAGACTTCACTGGACGCTTTTTTTTTTCTGTGTTCTGGTGCATTTACGTGCGTTTTGATGTGTTTCCAGACCATTACAGAGCAGAAAAAGAATTTTGGACCGGGGGGGGG